GCATGCTTGGTTTGGTTAACTGTTTGATCTTCTAGTATGTTATACATTGTGCAATGTGGTGCTCAGTTAACGTTTGGTTCATTTGTTATGGTGTTTAGTTAACTGTTTGGTTCCATTCTACAATGGGATGTTCAATTGTTGTGGGTGCATTCTGTTATTGTATACCATGTGAGAAATAAATCAAATTTGATTGTACTAAATACATGAGAAACAAATACAATTGCTATATTTCCAAGTTGTTAAGCATGCTTGGTTTGGTTAACTGTTTGATCTTCTATTAGGAGTATGTTATATTGTGTAATGTGGTGCTCAGTTAATGTTTGGTTCATTTGTTGTGGTGTTTAGTTAACTGTGTGGTTCAATTCTGCAATGCAATGTTCAATTATCATTGGTAGAATTTTGTATTGTTGTGCATGTGAGGAATAATCGGATTTGGCTGCACTTAATATATGGGAAACATATACAATTGCTATATTTTTTAGTTCTTAATCATGCTTGGTTTGGATAAATGAGTTTTTCATGTGGCTTGAATTAATATGATGAATCTGTAATGTGCTTATTTTTCATCAACATATTTTACTAATAGCATGTGAACCCTCACTTAACCTGATCACTAACTACCTTATATGTGTTGCAGGGAAGCAATGGAAAGCACTAAGGTTTACATTCAAGGTTTGCACATGCATGGTCCTTTGTCTAATAGCACATTATTGTGCAATTGCAGGAACCATTCTAATACTTAGGTTTTAAACAATTTGGTCTTGCACATGTAGGTCTTGCTGTCAGAGGTTTTGACCCACTCTTCGACCCTTTTTGCATATGGGGAAATGAGTTGTCCATGAATATCGGTCAAGTCAAGAAACTCAGAAAGATTGTTAGGATAAAGAAATTAGCGACAAAAAACAGCAAGATCTTTGTCTGCACAATGAAGAAGATATCAGTTCACTATAGGATGGTACTAACTATTATACCATGTCTTTTTTATTCCTTTGCCCTGTTTCCAATATAGAGAAGATATTTATGCACATCCTTGTTTTCAGGCCTTTTCAAAGTAGTTCACTGATGATTACCTCTCAAACAACCTGTATGGTCAAAAGGCGAGGAAGGTATTCATGCAACACCCACGGTTCAATATTGAAGTGTTTCTGAAGAGGACGAAGGATGGACGGTCAATCATCCACAGACACTGGCCTAAAGTTGCAAAGACTTTCAACATGAATGAAGGCTCAATATTCGCCTTCCGCTTCAGCAGTTTTCTTGATGAGATGCATATATCTATGTACCGTCTATGGTGCTAATTTCGAAAGGTTCTAGATGTTGCATGTGAAACTTGGTGCTGAGCACTTGTGTAATGGGGTAGCTGAGTGCTGAAGCTATATCATGTCGTACTCTGATGTATTTCAATTATGAAATCCTGCTTCCTTAATATGGGAATGAAATATATTATGTGTTTAATATGGATGTCAATTAGATTAATAAATGGATTATTAATAATAGGGCAATTAGCCTGCTAATGGAGAATTAACCTGCTAATTGGTTTTTGCTATTGCAAACTGTTATTGAGAAAATATCATGGGCGATGACCTAAGGCAACGCACACAGTTTCTAGGAATAAACAATGTTGGATCGATGAACAATCACACACGACATTCTCTTCAAAACTGTTTGCGTTAGGCCACCTTGCGCAAACGTTTACCTCATAAAAACTATGTGTGATGGACAACCTTTGCCACACAGTTTCTTCTATGCATCGTGTGTGATGCATTCAATAACGCAAACGATAAAATTATTAATATTGTGTGCGATGGCAACACTATCACAAACGATTTAACTGGGAAAATTGTGTGCGATGTACATGCGAATGGACACGTTTTCGTTGGAGCGACTGTGTGGGATGTATACAAAAAGAAACATTTAGCGGGGACTGACTGTGTGGTATGTACTTACGGTCGGAAACAATTTCGCCTGTATAATTGTATTTTTTGAGCACTACTGCACGTATTGCTCGCTCGCCGGTCGCACACGACCTTATTTTGCCGAGCGTGTGTGCCAGGAGGGCATATCCCCGACGATTTCTGGGTCGTGTGGGAAGGACCCCCTATCGCTCACACCCACTTGGCAACGGTTCCAAATGCCGTCGCGGAAAGGGATTAAAAACCGTTTGTATAGCACCGACGCGTACCAGGGATTATTCCATTTTTGTGTTAGTTGTATGTATTGTTTTTCTTTATTTTCGTAATAACTGGAAAACTCATTTGGTATCCTTATTGCTAGCCGTTATCGGAACCTAATTTTGTATAGAACATGCTGCATTGCAGCATGTTGCAATGCAGACTTCTCTCTATCTGGTAGCAATTGATTATGGGTTTTGTTAATAGTTTGTCCATAGTCACTTATTTCTCTTTCTTATTTGATGTTTCGTTTGTGTTTCATTAGAAAAAGAGGTTGTCATTCTAGGCATATAGTTACTGATCCTTTGTTTCCTGCTTGTGCAGCTATCCTAATCTTTGCTATTTTCTCCATGATACAATTGCTTACCTATATGTTCTTGTGTTCGCTGGTATGTGGTCTACCGTATCTATGGCAGGAAGAGGCCAGTGTCCAAGGGTATTGTCGATGGTAAGCCCAAGCACCAGGGTGTTACCCAACTCAAGTTCTAGAGGAACAAGCGATCTGTTGCTGAAGAAAGAGCTGGGTGCAAGCTGGATGGTCTTCGTGTGCTCAACTCCTATTTGGTTGCAGTTGTAGCTTTTGCTAATTATGTAAGTAAATACGTCGGAGCGCCTCCCTTAGTATGCTCTATGTTTCAACGATGTACTATAACAAGATAGTCTTGTTATCAAACAAGTATTGCATATATTTATGACAGTGCTGATCATGTATATAAAAATATGTTTGCTATGTGCTTGCAACCACAAGTTATATAAGGCTAAAGTAATTTTTGTGTGTGTAAATAACTACTCCCTCCTTTTAGTGTTGGATACATCCATTTGAGGGCAAGTAATTCCGGACGGATGAAATACTGTTCTAAGTAGCTAACATGTTAGGTGTCAGGACAGAGTGATAGAGAGGACATGGGTGCTACAAATTCTTCTTGGTTGCTCTTCTCCCCTGATTGGGCTTAGCCAAGCTAACACTCATGGGCCGAATAAGCTAATTTTGAAAGCTTTGGTAGGTAATTTGAAATAAATATTTCCTTTCTTTTATGCATTATAGAACATCCAACAAAACAAAAATTTAAGAAAAAAACTTGGTATCATGCTATATGTTATAGGATGAAAAATATTCTCTCATGGTAACCATTCATTTGCAAAGTTAAGCAAAATACTTCATTTAGTTCTTGGTTTGATTTGGTGTCATCCGATGGAAATCCACTCCCCTTCGGTCACACACATGTGAAGAGGGCCACCGGTCACTCCCCACTAAATGAAAAGATGAGCGTGGATTTGCTCACCCCCTTAATTTCTCATCCAAAAAGGTATGAATTCATACCCGAAATGTCTGCTAAAACTTATTTTACCAAAGGGAAACATTTTTAAAACATTCCGCATTTGAAATGAACCATAACCTAAATTACTAAAAGAATGCAAATATTTTCAACACACACATGGTTTTAAATGGGACTCTGCGCCATTTGGTTGATACCCTGCTGCTTCATATTCTGCTCCAAGCGGGTCAGCTCAATAGCGCTTCGTGGGTCGGACTAACTACCATATGACTACTTCAAAATAGATATGTGTCTAAGTGACACGAAAATAGACACTCTTTTTTCAAAAACACACACAAACAAATTGATACAAGCACTACCTTAAAAAAGGCCTCCTTAACTGATATGTGTTTTTTCATATATAGGGATCTAAATTCTTAATGTGCATGCTTGCTAAAGAAAAGATAATTGAAAATACACATATTTTCAGCGCAACATGATTTTCAATGGGACTTTGGGCTATCAAATTTAATTGTATGTGTACATCTCACTATAGATAACAAGCCATCGTTCTTGTTTATTATTAAAGGGCGTTAAATTTGTTATTTTATGTGCTTGCCCACAACTGAACCAACTAAACCATGAATTTTCTTTTCAATGTGAACATGATTTAAGCGTGTCTCTGCGCCATTTGGCGCAACGGATCACTAGTATATATATATAAAGCGGGGCGAAAGCCCTTTCTTACATCGAGCTGCTGCCATGTATCGGGCTGCGAATATGCATCTCCAAAACCGGCGACCCGAATCGGGAATTAAGAGGCAAGAGAGATGGAGACGCACGAAGAGAAAGGAGACTGAAGTACCCCCTCCGGTCCTTTTTACTATGCATATAAGAATTGTCTAAAGTCAAACTTCATAAAGTCTAACCATATTTATATGCAAAAATATCAACATCTACCATGCTAAAGTTATACAATGTAAAAATTTAAATCATGACACATCTATGAATATTAATTTCATATTGTGAATGTTGGTAATTTTTTTCTATAAAGTTGGTTAAATTTTACTCCCTCCGTTTTAAATTAGATAATCCAACTTTATGCTAAAGTTAATATAAAGTTGGGTCATCTATTTTGGAACGGAGAGAGTAGAAGGATTGATTTTAGACAAATCTTTTACGCAAACTAAACTAAAAAGAAAGGACCGGAGGGAGTGCTACTTCCACCTGCCTCCCTCGCTTCCACCCTCAGATCTCTCTCTCTCTCTCCTTTCTCTAAAGCGCGCCCCCTCCTACCTTTCTCTCGTCGCATTAGACCTTCCAGATCTCACCAACCTCCTACCAGCCGGCGTTTCTGCCTCTCTCAGTGCCAGAGCTTCACGACGCGGCTCTCTTATCTGTTCGGGGTGATCCATCCGACCCCCGGATCCTCCGCAAAGACGGTGCCTTTCTGGTTGTTCTCGGCACTATCCATGGATGAGAGTTTAGCGCGACGGCAGTGAGGTCAGCGTGTGGAGTTCCTGGGTTGAATTGTTGCAGCGAGAGGCTTTGGGGAAGGGCGCACGGCGGCGAGATGCGGGGTTCCGAGATGCGGAGGCGGGCACCAGAGTACCGGCGGCAGTCGCGGCGGCGGCTGCCGGGATGGATCTGGTGGCTCGTTGGGATCTTCCTTGTGGTTGGGCTCATGCTCTTCGTCCTGCACCACAACCAGAAGGAGCAGTTCCGGCCGCCCGTCATAGTGAGTACCTCAAACATGACTCCGTGTGATTTCCTGCTTGCTGAATTATGTGGTGTGACATCTTTGCTCGGAAGATCACTTCCTTTCTGTCAATTCTGAAAATACGTGGAAAAAGTTTTAGCTTTTTATGTGTGCAGGCAGATCTCTGTTAGCGTTTTGTATGAGATCTTTAGAAATAGTTCCATTGTTGGTTTCTTCTACTATGTTATAAGGTGAGCTTGGTTGTGTGTTGTTAGGCTTTTTGTGGTCAGAGCACATCATTTTCTAGATCTTCATTATCCAATTTCATTGTTACTTGATCCTTGAAGGTTTGTGTTTTTATCTATATTGATTTGTGCATGTTTATGGAAAATTTTATTTTCACTGTCTAGAAAATGTGCTTTTGATGGCTAATCATGACTAGTTGGTAGAAACGGCAAACAGGCTGTATTTTCTAGTAGTTGGCGTGGCATTACTGATAGGTTGTCTCTGCACTTGTTGGAGGTCTGCTCGTGTACTTAGGTTAAGTGTCCTTCTCAGGAGGAGGTTTCCCATCTTCATCATGATAGCATATGCTATTCCTTTACTATGAAGATGATTACTTAACTGGTGGGAGGACACCATGGAGTATGAAAATTGAACTCACACCATAAGTCAATTTTTAGTAGTATGTTGGCCCCCTCCGTCCGAAAATACTTGTCATCAAAATGGATAAAAAGTGATGTATCTAAAACTAAAATACGTCTAGATACATCTTCTTTTATCCATTTTGATGACAACTATTTCCGGACGGAGGGAGTACTTAGGTACTTGCTTAAAAAAGAATAGCATTGCCTGCCATGATTTTCTCTTCGAATTTGCGAATGACTTTCAGTAGCACTGAGTAGTAAACTAGTAACTTTATCCTAGGTTATTCCTGCCTATCTGATAGTAATACAACAGTCACATTAGTTTCTCTTGGTATCCAGTGGTCTGTAAAATCTGGATTACATTGATAGAATTGTTTTTTTTTAACTGCACAGCTTATGAGAAAAATAGCCGAGATCAAAACTGAAATTATTAATAGAACACAATGTCAATATAGAGATATAATATTGCCAGCGAGTCTTATTGGTAGCCTTTGATGTATAGTTCTTTCTGTGGTAAGGGTCTTAATCTTTTTGTATACAAAAGTATGATCTGAACATTTCTTGTGCGAGTTTTTGGCGCCAAACTTTGCTGGCCATTAACTGTTATTTATGGGTCAACACATGATGACAGCTGTTCAGTAACGTTTAATTTTAGTCTCAACAAAGTTAATCATTGGGATGATAACTAAAAACTTCTCCTTATACTTGGAATATACTTTTGGTCCCTGCTACTTCTAAGTGCATAGATATATTTCTTCATTGGCCTTCCCCACAGTGAAAGAAAATCACATTCTTTAATTAAACTCAGTCGATTGTGCATATTTCCTCATTTAGCTCGTTCTTGTTTCAGAATAAAGGGTCAGAAACTGAAGAAGTTTCTCCTGAGATATTTAATTTCACTGAAGAGCTTTTAAGCAGTACATCTTTTGCACGTCAATTAGCAGACCAAATGACTCTAGCAAAGGCCTATGTTATCCTTGCGAAAGAGCATGGCAACCTTCAGCTTGCATGGGAACTTGGTTCCCAAATAAGGAATTCTCAAAGATTGCTCTCTCAAGGGGCTGTTAGTGGGAGAGCCATCACTCAGGAGGAAGCCCATCCTATAATAACTCGGCTGGCACGGTTAATATACAAAGCGCAGGACTCTCATTATGATATCAGCACCACAATGGTGACACTCAAGAGCCATGCCCTCGCACTAGAGGAGCGTGCAAAGGCAGCAGTTGTTCAGACTGCCGAGTTTGGTCAGTTAGCTGCAGAATCACTTCCCAAGAATATCCATTGTTTAACGGTGAAACTGACAGAAGAGTGGCTTCAGAACCCAAAACTAAGGAGTCGTTCAGAGGAGCACAGGAATTCCACACGGTTGGTAGACAATAATCTGTATCATTTCTGTGTGTTCTCGGATAATGTGCTGGCCACTTCAGTTGTTGTCAATTCTACAGTGTCAAATGCAAACCACCCTCAGCAGCTTGTGTTTCATGTAGTCACAGACAGGATCAATTTTGGTGCTATGTCAACCTGGTTCCTGATAAATGACTTCAAAGGGTGCACTGTCGAAGTCCACTGCATAGACGAGTTCTCATGGTTGAAGGCTGCTTCTTCTTCTCTTGTCAGGCGGCTGTCCGAGATGGAAACAAAGGGTTCCTCTGGTGGTTTGAAGACGCAAGAACGGGAAATAAAGTTCCATAATCCGAAGTTTGTTTCTCTGCTGAACCATTTACGGTTCTACATCCCTCAAATACTCCCCAACCTGGAGAAGGTGGTTTTTCTTGATGATGATGTTGTGGTGCAAAAGGACTTGACACAGCTTTTTTCCATAGAATTGCATGGTAATGTTATTGGAGCAGTGGAGACTTGTTTAGAGTCATTTCATCGGTATCACAAATATCTTAATTTCTCGCAACCAATAATCAGCTCAAAGATTGATCCACATACATGTGGGTGGGCTTTTGGAATGAACATATTTGACCTAATTGCTTGGAGGAAAGCAAATGCAACATCGCTTTATCATTATTGGCAGGAGCAAAATGCTGATCAATTGCTTTGGAGAACAGGCACACTTCCAGTAGGCCTTTTGACATTTTATGGCCTAATGGAGCCCCTAGACCGGAGATGGCACGTATTGGGTCTTGGGTATGATGTAGACATAGATGACCGCTTGATTGAGAGTGCTGCTGTTGTGCATTATAATGGGAACATGAAACCCTGGCTGAAGTTGGCCATTCACCGGTACAAGTCTATATGGGAGCGGCATGTCAATTTCTCGCACCCACATGTTAGAGAGTGTATGTTTCACTAGGGAGTGTGCAATCACTGTTTACCATCAATGGTCTTCCACGGCACTGAAGCTAGAAACATCAGTTTCTTTAATAGGGTTGCTTTTGAGCACCCTAGTTTCGAAATCTTCCAGAGCTAGATTATATACTCAACAGGCATCATCAAAGAATTCAACTGTTAAGTTTACTTTTTGGGTGGGGGAAGATTTATTTTGAGAAGAAAATAATTCAGTTGCAGATTTTTACATACAATTCGGTCTGGAAGTTTTAGCAGTCTAATGAGATTACCTGGATAGATATTGTAAAGGAGATACAGTTGTTGGATTGATGCGTCATTTTTTGAGATGTTAGAAAATGCCAATTGCCAAATCAGCTGTGCAGAGCTTACTGGCGTTCATTCTTTTCAGGTTATTGTATTTTATACTGTACTGTTGAGGAATGTCTTCCTTTTCCTTTTTGTATAAACAGTTGAGTATTCTTCACAGTACGAACTTGGCTCAACTGGAGATATAGGAAAGTTAAGTAATTTTGATGTTCAGAAATTGAGTTTCTCATGTTCCATACAACATAGCGAAGAGAAAATTGCAATTCTCCCTCTGTTTGATTGGTTTTTAGTTCCAGAAAGGTTCAGCGACCTGTGTTATGACTGCCTTTACAATTTGTGTGGATTACGTAGTCAATTTTTGTAGCAGATGCCCTAAGTCCAAGGTTCTTATGGCGTGGCCTAAAAGAATGAACAAAGATTGTATCCTCAAGCAAATCAAGCAAAAAAGAACTTCCTTGGTGGTGCTAGTAATGCAAAGATTTGGTTTTTGTGCAACTTTGGCTGTGTTGTAACCTTAGCTATAACCTTCGCAGTGATGTGAACCTTGGCTATACTGTGACCACTAAGTGTTGCCGTGAACCTTTTTTGTATTGCAAAGATTTATACTTTTGACAGAAGTCTCATGTTGAAATTCTCCTTGTGTTTGTTCTATGTGGATCGGGATGGTTGAGTTGAATGCACGTTGTACGGTTGTACGGGTGAACAGAGGAGGTTCTTGTATACTCTTGCTCATTTTATTTTTTGAAACAAGGCAAAAGATTTGCCATTTGCATTGATTAAGAGAGAAGTTTTAACAGGTACCCGCAAGGCGGGGGATGGAGTCTACTCTTGCGGCATTACATTACACAGCTGTCTAGCGCCCAAATACGAGCCTCCTCCTTTATCCTAGCAGTGACCATGGTCACCGTGGTAGCGACATTCCTAGAAACTCTTACATTGCGCTCATTCCAGAGTTCATTGCGCTCATTCCAGAGTTTCCAGGAAACAAGCATGAGCATGGAGGCCAGAGCCTTCCTCAGGCCCCCCCCCCCTATCTAGGATAGTCCTGAACCACCATTCCTTTACAGAAATTTCGTAACGCCAGCCCGCAGTGATAGCACTGTTTACACCGATCCATGAAGCCACATTAGCCCAAACGCGTTGGGAAAATTTGCATTGGAACAGGAGATGTGGCGCAGATTCAGTAACTTGCTTGCATAAAGGGCAAAGCCCACAATTGGGCCAGCCCCGACGCTGCAACCTGTGCGCTGTCCAAACACGATTTTGGATGACGAGCCAAGCAAAAAACTTGCACTTGGGAGGAGCCCAAGCTTTCCAAACGGACATGTTCATGTTGCTCCTGAGATGGCCCTCGAACTGCGCCATGTAGGCCGAAGAAGCGGAATACTCGCCACTTGTACTGAGCTTCCATAGGATAGTATCACGGACACCCGCAACAAGGTTGATCCTAGACACCCTTTCCCAAAGGAGGGCGAACTCCTGGATGTGCCCCAAGGATAGGCCGTGCTGGGTGTTTATTTGGCTGACCCAAAAATTGTTCAGGAGTGCCTTTTGGACTGTGCACGTCTTTTTCTTAGAGATGTCGTAGAGAGCGGGTGCAATGTCTTTAGGCCTGATCCCATCCAGCCAAGAGGAGTTCCAGAAGCTCGCGCTGCAACCGTCTCCGATGTGAACCATGGTGGCAGCCGCGAAAATGTCTCTGTCCTTGTCAGTACATGGTGTTCCAGAGCCTAGCCAAAGCTGGGGGGGGGTCTGCCCATGGCCACGTGCTTGGCCGCCCATGGCGGGAGCTTGCCGGCGACCTTGTCCTCTAAATATTGGAAATGTATCCTTTTGAGTCTTCTAACTGAGAGGGGCAGCCCCAAATATCGCACTGGGAAGCTGGAGCGAACTGCTGGAAAGTCATGTAGAACATCCTGAAGATCGATGCCCTCACAACGGATAGGCGCAACGAGACTCTTTGCACAATTGGTGACCAAGCCGATGACCTCCCCCAAAGAGGCCAATGTCGATGCCAAGAATTGAATATCACTTTTAGTGGGTGCAACGAAGATGGCATCATCATCGGCATACAAGGACACACGGATCAGTCTACCTTGCCATCGGCGTACAAGGACACATGGATCAGTCTACCTCTGAGCGGATGCAAGCTCCCTTGGGCCGTGGCTTTGGCAAGTATGTGGTGTAGGGGATCAATAGCAAGGACAAAGAGGAGCGGCGAGAGTGGGTCCCCTTGCCGAAGGCCTTGTCCATGTCTGATCGGGTCGCTGGGAATGCCGTTAAGTAGCACACGGGAGGAGGCTGTGGAGAGGAGCGTCGAAACCCAATGACGGAAGCGGCTTGGGAAGCCCAGGTGTCGAAGCAAATCCATCAAATAGTCCCATCTGACCGAATCGAAGGCCTTTTTGATATCGAGCTTGAAAAGGAGGTAGGGGATTTCGTGCGGTGAAAGCGTCTGGCCAAGTTTCTGACATACATAAAGTTGTCGTGGATGCTTCTCTTTTTGATGAAAGCACTTTGTGCATTGGAGACTAGGTTGGGCATGTGAGGGACTAAGCGAGAGGCCATCATTTTAGCGATGATTTTGGCGACCGCATGAATGAGGCTAATTGGTCTGAAATCCGAAATGTCCTCAGAGCCGTCTTTTTTCAAGATAAGGGTGATGTTCGCTGAGTTGAGCCAGGTGAAGCTGGAGGCGCGCAGGTTGGAGAAGCCATTGACAACAGCCATCAGATCCTGCTTGATGATGTCCCAACATTCCTTGAAAAAAATACCGGTGAAGCTATCCGGTCCCGGTGCCTTGTCACTTGGTAGGGAGAAAATAGCCGCTTTAGTTTCCTCTTCAGTGAATGGTAGGTCCACATCCGCAAGGTCACATGGCTGGGTTGGAATGGCCTCCCAGTTGAAATCTTTTGACCATGCCGCCCCCTTACGAATGACCATGAAGAAGTGCTCATGGACAATGGCTTTCTTGTCGTCACGATTGGTAACCCATCCTTGGTTGTGCCGGAGACGATGGATAAAGTTTTTCCGTCTCCGCCGATGGATTCGGAGATGGAAAAAACGCATATTGGCATCCCCCTCTTTAAGCAAGGTTATCCTTGAGGATTGCTTTTTTCTAGCTCGCTCTAGGACAGCCAGAGCGACAACCTTCCGCTTGAGCTGTTTCCTTATATCTTGCTCGTCGTTGCTCAAGGCCCGAATTTCTTGTGCCATGTCCAAGCACAGGATGACCTCGAGAGCCATGTGGAGTTGGACTTTATGGTGAGAGAAGAGCTTCCTATGCCAGCACCTCAATCTCTGACTAGCTGTCTTCAACTTGTGGAAAAGAATTTGGCATGGGTCATGGTGGCTCACCCTTTCGTTCCATGCATCAACAACAACTTTCTTGAAGTTTGGCATGTTTGTCCAGAAATTTTCGAACCTAAAGGATTTTGGCCTCGAGGGTCCCTCATCACTAGCAATGAGAAGGGGGCAATGCTCGGAGAGCGAGGATGACAGCGCGTGCAGGATGTGGGAGCCAAAATGGATGTCCCAATCTTCATTACAAAAAAAAACTATCCAGCTTGCTCATAGTGGGATTATGCTGCTCATTTGTAACATCCCAATTTTATTAAATTTGGATGTTAGTAGAATCATTCAATGCATATCATATTTCATTGCATTTTTGGAGTTTTTGAAATATTCAAATGATTTTCCGCTCGAGAAAAACAAATGAGAGGGGATAAGATGACTTCCTCAAACTTATAAAAGAGTGGGAAATTTTATTTTGAATATTATTTGAAGTTTTGGAGTTTATTGGTATTTTTTTATTTGCCAAAGGTGCATTAAATGCATTAGGAAAATATTTTCAAAATGTTCTGTGCTTAAATTAATGTTCATTAGGCTCTAAATATTGTATAGTTATTTTAGAAATTATTGTGGTGTTTATATTAATTCATTTCAATTACTTAGGGCCACTTTAGTCTTTGGTTTTAAAAAAAAGAACACACACACACACTCATCGCAGCCTGGACCGAAACTAGGTTCGGCCCAGGAGCGCCCCAACCGGCCCAGCTGTCCATTTGGCCCAAGGCCAGTGCCTGCATGCCCGAAGCCTCCCGCCCGGTCGACCGCCCCGCGCTCGCCCTCGCTCGCCTCCTCTCGCTGCCGCTGCCATGTGGGCCCCGCACGTCAGGCCGTCCCCAACCTCCCGCACCGCACGGGATAAACATCCTCGCCGCGCTCCCACAACCACCGCTCAGCTCCCTCGCGGATGAGGCTTATCCGTCGACTCCGAGCCCTCTGCCCTCGCCTATAAAATCCACTCGACCCCCTCTTCCAACCTCGTCGTTCCGCTTCTTCCCACGCCGCTTCTAGCCGCCGCCATCAGCGGTTGCATCTCGCCAGAGCCGCACCACTCCCTCGTCCATTTCGTCGTCTGTGGCACCCCCTAGCTCTCCTTCCTCTGTCAATTGGATCCTGGCACCAACGTGCATCTTTTTGACACTTTTTGACCCCAGGACCCGCCGGAGACGCCGCCCCGACGATGCCCGACCTCGCCGGAGCCCGCGGAGCGTCGCTGTCTTCGCCTCGCCGGCCCCGATGCCCCCGAGGTGCCCCGGCGCCACCTTCAGGACGCCCAAGCCGCGCCGCACCTCCCCGTCTACTTCACCGACGACCGGGACCCGCCGCCTCGTTCGACCCGAGCCGCCGCCT